CCCCTCTCCCCGCACAAGGCTCTGCCACTGGCGCGCGGGGGCGGCAGCGGCGCGGAGCGGCTGTGGGAGGCGCGCCGCAGGGCATGGCGCTGCCTGCGTGCTTGCTGCAGCCCCTCGCCGCACGCGCTGCAGCCGGCCGCACTGACAGGAGGCCTCTCTGCTCCTCTCCCCGAAGGTGACCACCGACTGGGATTTGCAGAAGGGCACGGGCTGCACGGAGGGCCACACGGGCACGTCCGCTGCCGCCCCTCTCGCCGCCGGGATGATCGCGCTCATGCTGCAGGTGCGGCCGTGCCTCACGTGGCGGGACGTCCAGCACATCATCGTGTTCACAGCCACCAAGGTGAGCCAAGGGCCCTCCGCACGCGCCCCTGCAGGGATGCTGCCGGGTGCCCGCGCTCGTCCTTGCTTCGCTCTTCTTTCTGCCCTTCTGCAAATCTCTGCCCTGCCTGGGAACTGGCTCAAGTCGCCTTAGGGACAAGGCCTCTTTTTCAGCCCTCGGGGGCCTGGGAATCTGCGTCTGCCTAGCGCTATATATATAAGGGAAAGCTTGCTTTGGCACTGGGCAGTGTTTTCCACCACGGCAAGCCACTGGTGCCAGAGTGCTACAGCCCTCTGAGTGATGGGACCCAGACCCATCCTAGCCCAGCTGGTGTTGATTTAAGGGCCTTGGTTCCTTCTCCCCAAGGCTCTGCCATCCCGCAGGCCGTGGCTCGTGTGGCAGGGGAGCAGGAGCAGCTGTGAAGCTCCAGAGCAGAGGCATTTGTGCCCTTTCGCGCTGCTTCGTTTCCTTTCCGAGGAGCTGCGAGGCCCGCTGCTCCTGGGACATGTTTCACACAAAGGCCAACCTGTCCCTTTCTCATGAGGCCATGCGCTCGCTGCCCTGCCACGCCACGGGATACCCCGAGGCTCCGGGGTGGCTTCCCCGGCCCCGGCTCTGCCCGCGCGCCCCGTGACGGCAGCGCCCTGCGCTTCTTTTCAGTACGAGGACCGTCACGCCAAGTGGGACACGAATGAGGCCGGCTTCAGCCACCGCCACCAGCACGGCTTTGGCAT